ACACAATTGTCAAATCTTGTGTTAGTTTGAACTTCTTGTTGCTATGATAGAATTTACATTATTAACTGAAGGGATAGATAGAAAAATCCTAATGAATTATTGGAACCTTTGTTAGAGGATAAAACTATATTTATTGTGTCATTTGCCCCTTTGAAGAACTTATTAAAGACAAGCAAACTCAAAAATCATGGAGTTGAGGAGCTGAAAAGCCTCAAGCAAATTATGTTGTTGTGGGTAAGTGTCAATTACCAAATCTTGTGTTAGTTCGAACTTCTTGTCGCTATGATAGAATTTACATCATTAACTTAAGGTATAGATAGAAAAATACTAATGAATTGGAATATTTGTTGGAGGATAAAACTATATTTATTGTGTCATTTTCCCCATTAAAGAACCTATTGAAGACAAGCAAACTAAAAAATCATGGAGTTGAGGAGCTGAAAAGCCTCAACCAAATTATATTGTTGTGGGAAAGTGTCAATTCCCAAATCTTGTGTTAGTTTGAACTTCTTGTTGCTATGATAGAATTTACGTTATTAACTGAAGGGATAGATAGAAAAATGCTAATGAATTATTGGAACCTTTGTTAGAGGGTAAAACTATATTTACTGTGTAATTTTCCCATTTGAAGAACCTATTGAAGACAAGCAAACTCAAAAATCATGGAGTTGAAGAGCTGAAAAGCCTCAAGCAAATTATATTGTTGTGGGTAAGTGCCAATTGTCAAATCTTGTACTAGTTTGAACTTCTTGTTACTATGATAGAATTTACATCATTAACTGAAGGGATAGATAGAAAAATTCTAATAAATTATTGAAACCTTTGTTAGAAGATAAAACTATATTTATTGTGTCATTTGCCCCTTTGAAGAACCTATTGAAGACAAGCAAACTCAAAAATCATGGAGTTGAGGAGTTAAAAAGCCTCAAGCAAATTATATTATTATGGGTAAGTGCCAATTGCCAAATCTTGTGTTACTTTGAACTTCTTGTTGTTATGATAGAATTTACATCATTAACTGAAAGGATGGATAGAAAAATCCTAACTAATTATTAGAATCTTTGTTAGAGGATAAAACTATATTTATTGCGTCATTTCCCCATTTAAAGAAGTTATTAAAGACAAGCAAACTCAAAAATCATAGAGTTGAGGAGTTGAAAAGCCTCAATCAAATTATATTGTTGTGGGTAAGTGCCAATTGCCAAATCTTTTGTGACTTTGAACTTTTTATTGTTATGATAGAATTTACATCATTAACTGAAAGGATATATAGAAAAATAGAAAAATCCTAATGAATTATTAGAATCTTTATTAGAGGATAAAATTGTATTTATTATGTTATTTCCCCCTTTGAAGAACCTATTAAAGACAAGAAAACTCCAAAATCGTGGAGTTGAGAAGTTGAAAAATCCCAACCAAATTATGTTGTTGTAGGTAAGTGGCAATTGCCAAATCTTGTGTTATTTTAAACTTTTTGTTGTCATGCTAGAATTAACATCACTAATTGAAGGGATAGATTATAAAAAAAACAAGCTCAAATGAATTACTAGAGGCATTTGATTTCAGTTGGACTTTTTACTTTTTATTAAATTTTTTTTTTTATGTACAGTGTAGTACTGATAGTGAAGAATAGTTAACTGATCATGAGGAAAATATTACATTATATTCTTAACTTTTAGTTTTAAAAAAAATATATTTAATATTTTAAATTTAATTTAGGACATTGTGGATGAATATATAAATTTTATAATATTTATATATTTTTTGGTTTATAATTTATAATGACTTTCAATGTTTAAACAATTAATTACAATATTCAAATTTTTTATGATTGATACTGAGAAAGTTTTATGTCAATAGAGAAAAATACATTTAGCAACGGATGAGCTGTTGGTATAGTTCTAATCTATACATACGGAAACATATTTCTGTTTGTACATATCCAAATACCTATTCAAGCATATAATACATTCACCATTTCTTTTAATTTTATGTTAATTTCCAATGAGTATACAAGTTTTTTGCTATAAGCACATATTGAATTAGAGAGCAGAAATTTTCAATAATAATATCCGTAGGTATATATACAGATATGAAAACTAGAAGGGACAATGTGCATGGGGTTTGAATCTGTTGGGCTGCATTTCTACTCCGCTGTTTAATTCAAATTGACATGACATGCCCTAGCGCGCCAATTCCCTTCTCAGAAACCCTCTAATTACAATCCCTGCTCTGCTCGCAATGGAAGATCTTGGCAGATCGTCAATGCGGTTCTTCTCCGATCAGCGTATCTGCTACGCCGATATCCTTCCTCCTAATGAGGTTGCATTTCATTGTCAACATCATTTTTTCTCCATTTCCACTTCTGAAGAAAATCGTATTCAATTGAAAATTTGTTGTTCAGGCTCGGGCGAGAATCGAAGTAGCCGTGCTTAACTTTCTCAGGATCTTGAACTCTCGAGACCCTGCAATCTCAAGTCTCCCTCTGGTATACATTTTTCATTGCGTTGCATTTGCCATCAATTTAGATCAGTTTAAATTCGTGGCCAGATTTTTCATATTAATAATCATTGGTTCTTGCTCTATACTAGAAACGTTTGATTTGACTTCTTCGTGAAATATCAGGGAACCTATTTCTTCTGATTCCTAAAATTACTTCCAGTACTTTTCTTGGTAGCCAAACGGGAAGTTATGCTAAAAGAAAATTGATATTCGTTTGGTAGGTTAATAGAAAATGGAGTAACAGCCGAGTGAGTAAAGGATTGTTGACGGATGTTTCGCGGATTTTTCTATGCCGTTCCTTCTGTATAAGGTCCTTGATGAGAGTGAAGGCAACCAAAGCCTTCGTTAGAGGTATTGCGGTCAGTTATTTGGTGTATTTTTTGTTCAACAAATAATTGATTTTGCGAATTGATCAAGCCTAGTGTGGAAAGTGATGGAGATGTGCTTTCGGATTCTGATTCAAGAAAAACGAGTGACACAGAGGGAGCTCTTTTACTTGTTGATTTGTGATTCACCGGAGTATTTCTCGTCCCAATTAGAAGTCAACAGGACAATCCAAGGTCATTTTTAAAAGGATAAGTATTCTATCTGATCTCCTTTGACTCATTAGACAACTCAGAAAACTCCTATTGGATGATATAGATGTGGTAGCACTGCTCCAATGCAGTCGATACAGTCTTGGAATCATGGCATCTAGCCGGGGAATTGTTGCAGGGCGGCTTCTGTTGCAGGCACGTCATTTTTTTTAAGGGAAGACTGCAGAAGATAGTAATTTAATTTCTGTAAAAAGAAAATAGTAATTGTGAGCTTGGAAATGTATAGGAACCAAACCAGGAAGTTGTGGATTGCTCGGCATGTGGATCTTCTGGATATACATTTCTGGTGACCTGAATTTGATCCAAACCTTGATACTGAAGACAGATGCTCGGTATATCATCGTGGTGGAAAAGGTATTTCTCAAGGGAACATTTTCTAACCGGATAAGTAGTTTCCAGGTTTCCATGGCAAACATATTTCTGACACTGGATTTGTTTAGCATGCAATATTTCAACGACTATTAGAGGATGGTATATCCAATCACATTCCTTCCATTATAATTACAGCTAAAGGGTATCCAGATATTGCCACAAGGTAATTAACCATTGAGGGAAGCGAAATGCCAGTGGATACCCACTTTCATTTTCCAGCTTTTATCACTTTCAGTCAATGATTTCATTCCTGATCACGATTTAAGTGCTATATAGGTTTCTTCTTCATAGAATGAGCAGCAAGTTTCCTGGCATGCCAATTTTAGCTCTAGTCGATTGGTAGGTTTTTCATTCAGCTTTACAGTGATATGCCCACAATTGTTGTTACCAACGCCATTTTCCGTTCAAAATTTTCTAGGAATCCAGCTGGGTTGGCTATACTGTGCACCTTTAAGTATGGAAGTATAGGGATGGGGCTGGAGGCTTACAGATATGGTGATCTCTTATGGCACCCATATTCTTATCTAAAATGTGAAATTGACGTCGGCACTGATGCTAAATGCATTTGGGTTTCAGCTTGCAATGTGAAGTGGGTTGGTCTGCGAAGGGATGATCTACATCTGGTGCCTGAACAAGCATTAATTCCGCTTAAGCCAAGAGATCTGCAGATTGCCAAAAGCTTGATGTCGTCAGAAGTCTTACAGGTAGAGCCCTCGGTGCTTGACTGCCGATCTTGAATTATATCATAGAAGATTGTATCATCACCAACATTTTAAAGGTGCTTTAAACTTTTGACAGGACGAATACAGAGAGGAGTTGGCATCAATGATCGAGAGTGGTCAGAGAGCAGAGATTGAAGCTTTGTTTTTCCATGGATATGATTATCTAGGGAAATACATAGCAAAAAAGGTTGTACAAGCCAATTACATCTAAGGACATAAGTACTTCAAGCCAATGCCCATGTTATTGCATACTAGCACATTCATTGCCAAATGCGGTTAATAATTACTGTCTCGGAAACAAAGATATACAATGGAAATGAAAATTTTCAGTTACAGTGTATAACTGTAATTAGTAGAACACATCATTCCCAGAAAATTAACAATTGGTTTGCCACTTGTCAAAAGCACAGAAAAAAAAAAAGGATCCAGGCTAGTCAAAGTCATTTCTCATTCTATTTTTGTAGTCGTAAAAGCAAATCACATCATTACCTATTAATTTGCAGTACATACCTCATCAATGGATAAGCAGAAGAGAATTACAAATATTGACAAAATTGCAGACAAATCACATTTGAAAATGCAACTTAATCTAATTCTAATCCTGCCTCAGCTGCCATATACAGACCGTTACAGGCATCTAAACATTCTGACAAAAATGTTCAGGCTCTCCCTGACGTGAGACCAACTCTTTTTCCCTCCACAGAGAACTTCTGGCTGCCTTCCAGCTGCAACGAAAGGAAAATCT